GTTGGTGCTCCTGCACATGTTGAGCATGAAAATGAAGTTTGGGACCTTGTTGATTTGCCTGAAGGTTGTAAAAGAGTTGGTAATAGATGGGTCTGGAAGACCAAACACGACTCTAATGAAAATATCGAAAGACACAGGGCCAGACTTGTTGCCAAAGGTTTCACTCAGAAAAGTGGTGTTGACTATAAAGAGACATTTTCACCCGTCTCTAAGAAAGAATCCTTAAGGATTGTCATGGCAATGGTAGCTCATTATAATCTAGAGCTCCATCAGATGGGTGTGAAAACCGCCTTTCTGAATGGGAATTTAGGTGAAGCAGTCTATATGGATCAACCTGAAGGTTTTGTGGTTGAGGGAAAAGAACATATGGTGTGTAAATTAAAGAAGTCAATATACGGACTTAAACAAGCTTCCCGACAATGGTATATTAAATTCAATGATACCATTACATCTTTTGGATTTAAGGAGAACATCGTCGATCAATGTATATATATGAAGATTAGTGGGAGCAAGTTTATAATTTTAGTTATGTATGTTGACGATATCTTGCTTGCTACTAATGATCTTGGTTTATTACATCAAACCAAGGAGTTTCTCTCTATGAACTTTGAAATGAAGGATTTGGGTGAGGCATCCTATGTGATTGGAATAGAAATATTTCATGATAGATCACAAGGACTGTTGGGATTGTCTCAGAAATCATACATTAACCAGATCCTAGAGAGATACAACATGGTTGAATGCTCTCCAAATGTCGTTCCAATTCAGAAGGGAGATAAATTTAGTCTCAAAAAATGTCCAAAGAATGAATTGGAACGCAAGCAAATGGAACACATTCCTTATGAATCTATTGTTGGAAGTTTGAATTATGCACAAACTTGTACCAGACCAGACATCAATTTTGTTGTCGGAATGCTGGGTAGGTATCAAAGTAATCCAGGAGTAGATCATTGGAAAGATGCAAAGCAGGTACTAAGGTATCTGCAAGGAACAAAAGACCACATGCTCACCTTTAGGAGATTTGATCACCTTGAGGTGATTGGATATTCAGATTCAGATTATGCTGGATGTGTAGACACCAGGAAGTCTACTTTTGGCTATTTGTTCCTTCTAGCCGGAGGGGCAATTTCATGGAAGAGTGCGAAGCAGTCTGTTATTGCCACATGCCCACATCTACTATGGCTGCGGAATTATATTTATGATTTATGGCTGCGGAATTATATTTATGGACTTGGATTGTCGACACTATCGCCAAGCCGCTGAAAATTTACTGTGATAATTCCGCAGCGGTATTCTTCTCTAAGAATGACAAGTATTCGAAGGGTGCTAAGCATATGGAGGTGAAATACTTTGTCGTTAAGGAAGAAGTTCAGAAACAAAGGGTGTCGATCGAGCATATTAGCACACAGCTTATGATTGCTGATCCATTAACAAAAGGATTGCCTCCTTAGAAATTTACTTAACATGTCGAAAGGATGGGGATTATAGGACGTCATGACTAAAGTTATTTTATGTTTTATGGATTGACACTTTGAGCTCATTTATTTTGTTTCTGAAATAAAGTTATGAATCTTGTCTTGTTTATTATGATCAGTATATATACATTATGAATTATGTGGACCGAATAAGATTTTTGTCTTTAGGAAAGACATTATTGTTGGACCATTATGAATACCTTGTTATGTGTCAAATTGAGCATGAAACTGGTTTTGTTGTACATGGAAGGGACTATGTCGATAAATTGATATAGAACCACCATGATCCTAATCTAGCTTTCATACTTGATTATGACTTTATGGTGAACCAAATATTATGGATTTATCTTATGATGTGCACACTTATGTTTATTATTAGATCTTGTGATATATAATGACACATGGGCCAAGTGGGAGAATGTAAGCCCAATTCCCTTATGGATCACTAGGGAATAATTGTGGCTCAAGTGTAATTATCACTTAATGGTTTAATATATAAGGTAAGTCATATATTGGTTAGGTTAATGAAAAAGGTAATTTCCTAATATACCCTGATGGTGGGTCTATATAAAGAAACCCTAGGATTGATCCTCTCTCCACCATTACGTAGAATTTCTTAGCCGTCATAGAAATCTCTAAACCTAAAACCTAAAGGGGTCAAGAGGGAGAAACTCAATTCCGGTGATTACTACTCAAGTCGCCACCGCTCTCGTCATGGATCGAGGTAGGTTTCCTTGATCTATTATCGATTCGTGAAATCATCTAATTCTAAGATCCATGCTATTATGATTTATGTTTACACCCTAATCTTTTTCGTCCTCCAAATTGAACCCTCATCAACCGATTCACTTATCTGTAGGTTTTATAGAAGTTGAGACATTTCAATTGAGTTGGGAATTGAGGAACGCTGTACCAGAATCCACTGCTGGAATTTGATTTGAGGTGAGTCCCTTCGTATACTAATTAATCATGTAAATTAATTTAAAATAAATAATTTAATCTGGCCATAGCCCCATACTTAAGAGACAAAGAAAATAAAAAAAATTAGGTTCATTGTTTAATTTGAAATTGGCTGACATGGACTATGCTGACGTAGATAATGATGTGTTAGCCACGTCATCATAGTTAAAGGTAAAATTAACGGATGGCTAAACTTGTTCAACATAATGAGAGTTTTGGCTATTTTATGGCATTTTGATTGGTTTCGCTATTTCTGTCAGTAAGTTAAAAGATTTGGCTATTTTTTGGCATGTGCCCTTATGAAAAAATTTAAACGTAGAGATATAAGTGTCAATATAAAATTTTGGTACCAAAAATCATTTTCAAAGAATATTTTCCATTAAAAAAATCAAAGTTTAGGTATGAAATTGTAAAATATAAAATATATAGGTACTAAAATGTAGTTTTCTAAATCCATGAATTCAATCAATTTATTGAATACGAATTTAAATTAATTGAATTAGTTAAATTTTAAAGAATAGATTGAATTTAATTAGTTAATTGGACTCAAATTATCACATTTAATTGTCGAGAACTAATCTCTACACTGATCAAATCGTTCTTCTTCGTACTGTTCGCCTGTTTTGTTCTCTAAGGATAAATGTGGTTTGTTCTTCACAAAATGACCTTTTCTGTTTTCATTATAATCACAAGTTCACAACTCAAAATAATGCATACATATGTAAATAAAACATGTATTCATAGGAAATGTGTAGTTACATTAATGCTGGTAACAGTATTGTCCTTTGTCCATATGAAAGGAGTCATTACAGTAACTGTACAGAAGGGAACATCTATAGAAAAGAACAAACTTTCACAAGCTTGCCAATGACTATGAGCAGAAGTGCTGCATGCTAGCTAAACATGTACGATGTACCCTTACATCAACCTCAACCCACATATAAATAAAAGCACATATTTTAGGGAGGTTCATATTAAGCACGTATCAAAGAGCAAAACTACGTGGCAGATTACTTAGCGAACACGGGTCATAGTATCCCCATTGGGAGTTCTATGTTTAATGTTGAGGAGCAGGGCTTAGACTGGTGGCTGTATCGTGATATTACTGGGATCTCGGAACCTCGGATGATCAATAATATGGATTAGGGCGCCTCTTAGAACCCGTCTTTTCACCAAAAAAAGCACATATTTTGATTTTGCCACATTAGCCATCCTAAAACAACCCATAATTTAAGGAAGGTCATTAAGGTCAATTAACACCTATTAGGCCAATACTATGGTGCCGCTGTAAAAAGTGCGGCACCGGTGACGCGATCTCTAATTGGTCACGTGGACTGTGACATGGCATAGTTGAGTTTATTTGATCTTAAGCCAACCCATACGGTCCAATAGAGATGACCCAAACCGTCTATGCCAAACAAACTAAAAGAGAAGTAGAGAACTTCCTCGATCTCCCTCTCCGGAGGTCTCTCGAAAATCACTCTAGGAGACTTGTCCGTAGCCGATCCCATCTCCAGGTTCTACATTTATTTCCTCCTATAGTTATTGGGATTTGATAGAAGCGAAGGATTCCATCGTCATAGCGGGCCTCTGTCTCCATCTAACAGTACCGCCAACAAGCTAGCAGATGCTCAGAGGAGAATAGAGTCATCTTTCTCCGTGGTTCTTCAGCCTCGTTTGCTCCATCCCTATTGCCATCAGGAAACCAAGTTCTAGGCGGTGCCAAGCTCTTGCCGTTGGCTCTCTGACTTCCCGCTGGCTGTCTCACCGGTGAGAATAACTACGAAGCTTTCTTTAGGTCTTTAGAGGGTCTGTGATCTCTTACCTGTGGGCTGTTGCGCTACATCTAAAGGAAAAGAACTAGTTGTTTCTAGTTGGAGCTCTAATTCCGTTAGATAGACCAAAGTGCTTGTCGATGTACCGAGCACTAGTAGTTATCATACTGCATAATCAGTTTGTTGAGAAAGACTGCAAGTGCAAGCTTGCTGATACTGTTTTAAGGGTTTTGGTGAAATATCGGCCAGTTATGAACAATGCTAAAGAGGTAATGTTCTTGAGTGAACTATTGAAGTGGGTCCGTGAAGCCTTGTTTATAAACTTATTTCTTTGTGACTTCTTAGAGGTACCCAAGGATAGTGTTAGGATCAGTGACTTTTTTGTTTCTAGCTAGAATGAACCAATGGTTATCCATTGATGGACCTGTGATGCCAGCTTCTTTTGGTTGTTAAGAAGCCACTTTCCTGCATGGTGTTCTGAATTATGTAGCTTCATTTAGAGATTTAGTTTAACTACTTATGTTTGACTTCAAGTTTGGTAACCATGACACCTGAAAAAAGATATTGTGCTAAGGCCAGTATAGTACATATTTTGCTCTCAATAGTGAATTGGAATAATGGAGAAAGTTTATACACATCAAACATTTCCTTAAACACTAGACATAAACTTAAGCTACAATTTTACAGGATTCTGACTCTTTCTTTTTGTAACCTTGCTTGCATTTCATCAGTATATCTATACTAAAAAAACTATCATCCTTTTGCATGTGGTAGAAAGGGCCTTATTATTATGAAACAACGATCATGTCAAGAACCTAATCAAACAGACACGAAATATTATACTTCCCATAATCTTTCCTTCGTTGGAGAGGAACATCAGGCGTCACTAGAACCATGCTGTGCAAAGCCTGACACTGATGTCCGAAAGATATTTTTCGACGCTGGCCCAGAGCTCTTCAAAGAATGCTTGCTTAAGTTCAGGAAGACGAAGGGCAAGAGGGCGAGATCAAGTCGAAACGGGAAGCCACATGGAAACACCACGAAGATATTGCTGCCATGAAAGCTTCATCTAGCAACGAGTCGGTGTTTGTCTCTCCTAGAACCTCAACAAAGCTCATGGCATCTAACAAGCTAAGAGAATCATTGAAGATCCTTTTATGTTTTGAGCCATTATTAGGGACAACAAGAAGAGATCAGATGGAAAGTTCATTCCTTTGAATATGAATCATCTGCCCACTTGCATGTAAGCAGCATATGTCAAGAGGCTGACGCTGAAAAAATGGGGAAAAAGGGATTTCTTGAGAGCTTGAAACTTGATTCCATTATGTATAATTTGGCGTTGATTGATCTATGCTTTGGGTCAAGCAAATTTTTACTCAATGTATTGCCTCCTTCGGGCATAGTTGGACAGTTGGATGGAGTGAGTATAGCATTGTTGTTAATTGCAGCTACTGAAGTTGTGCTTGATCTGTTCTTGTTTCTCTGGTGATGCTGATGGTAGTGTTGCAATTTAAAGTTGGCCGACGGAACAAATGAATGATCTGCAAGCTGATCACCCTGAAGCTTAATTACCTACAATACTGTAGAAATTGAAGAATGGAGGAAAGGGTTTGGGAATCCTCAGCGTTTGCATCTGCTGGGTTTCGTTTATATAGCTGTTCAAGTTTTACTGTTTACACAACGGTAACAGTGACGTGGCTAAACGCCATTCGTCCAAATGATTAAAGCAGTAACTAACAAACATAAAAGCAAAGCGTCGTCGTTCTATTCTTCATCAGCTTCTGTTGGAGACGAAACGGCCTGCCACTCCGAAACGTTTCAACCGAACTGATCTTCTTCTGGAATTGAATTCTGCAGAGTTGCTGCCATCTTCCCTTGAGCCTTCTGTTTCTGCTGATTCAAATCCATCACTCCTTTGCCTTTGTACTTCATCACGCCCCCGCAAATTGGCGCGTATACATTTGTTACGCCCAATTTGTCGAGTAAGAACTGTAACCTGTAACGACTGAGCCCCTTCGTAAAGAGATCAGCCAATTGATCTTCACTTCGCAAATACCTTAACTTGATCAATCCAGACTTGACCCTTTCTCTTGTAATGTGCACATCGATCTCGATGTGTTTTGTTCTCTCGTGATAAACCGGATTGTCAGCAATCTGGATTGCTGACATGTTGTCACAGTCAGTGTTCAAGAAGACGCGATTAATCTCTCGCCTAGGCGCGATTAATAGCTGGGCAGGAGGAAATCGCCCCGTCTAGCCCTGGGCGATTGATCTAGGAACCTAGGCACTCGGAGGCGCGTTTTCACCCTGGTGGGCGACGCCCAGAACAACTAATAAAGGGGATAGTGTAGCCTTTTTGTGAAAATCTCAAACCCTATTCTATTTCCCATTTCCATTCGACCAGCCGCTCCCTCTCATCGACTAGCAATGAGATCTCTCCTTATGGTTGGCGACTTAGGATGTTTGGGATTGTGGAAAAGGGTTGTATGTGTATATGCATGGATGAATAATGATATGGGGACTTGGGTTTTTGTGGAATATGGCCTATCTAACATATTTTTTTCAACGTTTAATCTCGCCTAGGCAACGACTAATCGGCCTAGGCGCTGGGCGGTGCCTCCTCGCCTAGATAGCGCCTAGCGTCTTCTTGAACATTGGTCACAGTAAACATTCACTGGAGATGGTAATGAGACTCCCAGTTCTGCAACTAAACTCTTGAGCCACTGCACTTCACACACCAGATGGGCCAAAGCCCTGTACTCTGCCTCAGAAGACGATCGAGATACTGTAGTTTGTTTCTTCGATTTCCAGGTAAGAAGAGATTCCCCCAGGTAGGTACAATAACCTGTGATTGACCTTCGAGTGTCAGGGCAAGCAGCCCAATCAGCATCACTGAAACCTTTTAACACTAAATCAGTGTTGGATTTAAAATGTAATCCCTGCCCTGGTGATCCCTTAAGGTATCTGAGAACTCTGTAGGCAGCTTGTAGATGTGGCTCTCGAGGTTGGATCTGGTATTGACTAAGCTGCTGAACTGGGTATGCTATGTCTGGTCTAGTAATTGTAAGGTAGTGCAACCTTCCAACCATCCTTTTGTAGATACCTGGATCCTTCAGTAACTCTCCATCTCTTGACTCAGCTTGACTTTACAATCAATGGGGCTTTTACAGCTTTTAGCATCCATGAAACCAGTGTCTTCAAGCAAGTCCAAACAATACTTTCTCTGTGACACACTGATCCCAGATGCATTTCTTGCAATCTCAAGTCCTAGGAAGTACTTCAAAGCTCCCAGGTCCTTGATCTTAAACTCTTTCTTCAAATAATGCTTCACAGCCTCCAGGTCTCCTAATCTTGGACCTGCCAAAATTATATCATCCACATATACTAACAGAACTACAATTCTGCCTTGAACCCACTTAACAAACATTGAGTAATCTGATGAAGACTGAGTGAAACCATTCTTCAACAGTGAGCTAGTCAACTTGGCAAACCATTGCCTGCTGGCTTGCTTTAAGCCATATAATGACTTCTTCAGTTTACAGGCCAAACCAGTAGTGTCACCTTCAATTGCTAGTCCTGGAGGTATCTCCATATAGACATCTTCTTCTAAGTCCCCATTTAAGAAAGCATTTGACACATCCATTTGCTCCAAGTTCCAATCCTTGACAGCTGCTACTGCTAACAGTGTCTTGACAGTGTTGTTCTTTGCAACTGGAGAAAATGTGTCAAGGAAATCCACACCATACACTTGTGTGTAGCCCTTGGCTACCAATCTGGCCTTGTGCCTTTCTATCCTTCCATCTAGTCTTAGTTTCAATTTCCAGACCCATTTGCAACCTATCTTCTTCTTGTTAGGTGGCAAACGACATATTTCCCATGTGTTGTTAGCTATGAGAGCTCCTAGTTCTTCTTGTGTTGCTCTATTCCAATTCTCATCTTGCTGAGCCTCTGCGAATGTCCTTGGCTCCAAGTGAGTTGTCATGCTGAGAGCATATGCTCTTCTTTCTGCTGTCAACATCTCATAACCAATGTATTCATCAATGGGGTATCTACTTACTACCCCTAGATAGCAGTCCTTTAACCTTGCTGGTAAAACTATGTTTCTGCGAGGTCTCTCTCTAACTTGTGGATCTGCCTCACTTTCTTCAAGAGGCAGAAGCTCTTGCTCATGGAAATCATTCATACAATCATCAGTTTCCATGTTACTTACTACATCATCATCATCAGACTCAGTATTCAAAACATTAGATGCATCAGACATAGAAGAGGAATTGTTGATAGGTAAAGGACTACTATGTGAAGAGCTAGGGTCAGCAACATGAGTGTTTTGTTTTGACACAGAGGAAGGACTATTGACATGACTGGAATTCCTATGAGAAGGATGACTACTGACATGACTGGATTCTCTAACAGGTGGATTGGTGACACCAGATGAATGCACTGGTACAGGGAAGTAGTACTCTTGTGGAGTTTCAGATACATCATCCTGGTCAGTAGATGATGCATCCTTTTTGAATGGAAAGATGTCTTCATAGAAAGTGACATCTCTTGAGACAAAGAAGTCATGTGAATTTAAATCAAAAAACTTGTAGCCTTTGATTCCTGTTGGTAAGCCTAGGAAGACACACTGTCTTGCTCTAGGTTCTAGTTTGTTTCTGCCTTGAGAATGAGTAGTGGCATATGCCAAACAGCCAAAGACTTTCAAATGGCCTAGGAAAGGGGAGGTTTTGTAAAGAACTTGAAATGGTGACTGATTCTGAATTAAAGGAGTAGGCAGTCTATTAATTATGTAAACTGCATGAAGAACACAGTCACTCCAAAATGGTAAGGGCACACCTGAATGAAATCTAATGGCTCTAGTAACATTCAAAATATGTTGATGTTTACGCTCTACCCTCCCATTTTGTTCAGGTGTGTAAACACAGGACATTTCATGTTCAATGCCCTGTTAAGTGTAGAAATCACACATAATAAACTCTTTCCCTTGGTCACTTCTCACTTTCTTCACTGATTTGTTGTACTGTGTTTTGACCATTTTGCAGAAACCAATTAAAAGGGATCGAGCTTCAGATTTATGATGCATAAGATAGAGCCAAACTGCTCTAGAGTGATCATCAATGATGGTAAGGAAAAATGAAAAACCATCATGGGATTGGATAGCCAGAGGCCCCCAAATGTCAACGTGAATCAAGTCAAAGATGTTTGTGGCATAACTGAGACTGGAAGGAAAAGGTAAACGTTTCTGCCTAGACAGGTGGCAGTGCTCACAATGTTTGACATCTTCTTTAGGAATACTAGGATTACAATGCTTAACAAGCTGAAATCTACCAGTACTAGGATGTCCTAAACGCCAATGCCACAAAGCAATCTTCTGAGGTTCGAAATTGTAGACAGATGCAACTTGAGAGGAAAATGATGAGGTGTTTGAGCTGTTTGGTGGAATGAGGTGATACAGGCCTTTAGTTTCTCGAGCCAAACCAATCATCCTGGTCGAGATGAGGTCCTGGATATGGCAAACATTAGATTGGAAAAGGAGTGAGATTGGCATGTCATGTGTCAGCTTGCTGACAGAAACTAGATTAAAGGTGAAACTGGGAACTAAGAGGACATTGTGAAGGAACAATCCAGGAGTAAGCTTGACTGATCCTATATGACTGACCAGAACTTTGGTTTTGTTAGGAAGATAAACATGAACATCAGACACTGGAAGACATTTGTGGAACAAATGAAGGGAACAGGCTATATGATCTGATGCACCCGTGTCAAGAATCCAAGTAGATGACAAAGAAGTAGTAGTAGAGTAAGTGGAAGACAGAACATATTTACCTGCTGAATTAGGAAAGCTAGGCAAATGAGTAGTCACTGAGTGTGCTCTGTGGTTAATTGATGGACTCTGAGGTGATGTAGGAGAAGTGGAGTTGGACATCTGCAGCATGCCTCTTAACCTGCTCATTTCTTCTCCAGTGAAGCCTCCAACTGAGTTAGTGAACCTGCTTTCCACCTCAACCTGCAATCCTTCAGACTGACTACCCTCTTCTGATCCTATGTTCTGTCCAACTG